ACCGTGTTAGCCAGGATGGTCTCGATCTCCTGACCTCGTGATCCACCCGCCTCGGCCTCCCAAAGTGCTAGGATTACAGGCGTGAGCCACTGCACCCGGCTTCTTTTTTTTTTTTTTTAGGCAGGATGTCGCTCTGTCACCCAGGTAGGATGGGAATACAGTGGTGTGATCACGACTCATTGCAGCCTTGACCTCCCAAACTCAAGTGATCCTCCACCTAATTTTTAAATTTTTTTGTATAGACGAGGTCTTACTATATTGCCCAAGCTGGTCTCAAACTCCTGGACTAAAGTGATCCTCAGGCCTCAGCCTCCCAAATTGCTGAGATTACAGGCATGAATCACTGAGCCCAGCCAGACAGAGTTAAGGTCATCTTCTGATATCACCTATTATTTAGTAGAGTCGACCAAGTATCAGACATTCTATAATCATTGCCTCATTTAATCCTCACAAAAATTCCCAAAAGTTGGGTATCATCTCATTTTACTGATGGAGAAACTGAGACCCAGAGAAGTAGTTTGCCCCATCCCTTCCAACCATCCAGTCATTATGTGGACTCCAAAAATGAGGCTCTCAGCCATCAGGCCACACTGCTATCTTTACCGTCACTGTGTCCCATCCTGGGATTAAATCTCCACCAGTATGATGGCATTTCTTAGAACAGTAGCTAATAGCGTCTTACTGATTATAACCTCGGGTAGGTTACCTAACTAATCTCAGTTTCGTCTGCAAAATGTTTTCACATTTTTACAGTTTTCAGCTGTCAAATGGGGATGACACTCCTTATCTCACGGGATTCTTCATGGAGTTTGGTGCCCGATACCATTGTAAGGTATCAGAGTCTGTGAGAGACACCCTGAGATACGCTCTAGGCAACCTGGGTGGACTGTTTTGGGTTCTCTGCCCCATGATTCCTGGGTAGATTTGGCAGGAGATCAGAGGGAGGGAGAGTCTGGTTCCCTCCCAGTTCCAGTGACCTCAATCCTCTCGTCCCTGCCAGCCTAGAGGTTGTGACAATGTCTCTCCACCAGCCTGGGTTCCTGCGTGGTTCCTGTGATTCTCCTGTAGCCCACACATAACTTTGTCTCCCTATAAGGAGCTCCTCCTCAAATTATCCCGGGCATAATTTGCAAGTGGATCTTCTGTTATCTGTAGGGACCCTGACTCCATAAATTCATTTGTTCATTTGTTTAGCAAATTTCATACATCAAACAACTACTATGTGCCAAGCACTGTTCTAAAATGTCATGGACAAAACAAAGTCCCCGCTCTTTTGGAGCTCCTATTTCAGTGCTGCCAATGGTTCCTCCTTTATCCTTACGGCGGCCTGTGGGAGTTGCTGTCTCCTATCACCACATCCCTTATAATATTTTGAGTAGTTATTTGTTTACATACATCCAGCACCTACCACAGTGCCTGACTCACAGCAGCTGCTCAGCAACGTTTGATGAATGAATCAATGAATTCTGGCACCCCTACTTTTTTCTGTCCTAAGAGACCTGAGAACTCACTCATCATTTTGCTAATGACTCTTTAGTGCTCCTTGTCCTCGCCTCTATGAAGTTTTTGTTTGTTTTGTTTTGTTTGCTTTTCATTTTTGAGACAGGGTCTCACCCTGTCGCCCAGGCTGGAGTGCAGTGGTGCTATCTTGGCTCCCTGCAACCTCCACCTTCCAGGTTCAAGCGATCCTTCTGCCTCAGCCTCCTGAGTAGCTGGACTGCAGGCATCTGTCACCAAGCCCCGCTAATTTTTGTATTTTTGGTAGAGACGGGATTTCACCATGTTGCCCAGCCTGGTCTCAAACCCCTGAGTTCAAGCAATCCACCTGCCTCGGCCTCCCAAAGTGCTGAGATTACAGGCATGAGCTACCACACCTGCCCTTCTGTGAAGTCTTTAACTACATAGAAGTGTGGCCCGTAGCCATATACATGACACCAGAAATGTCTCCGAATAACATGGTCTGATGAAGCTCCACTGCTAGAAAAAACCCTTGTTCCACATACCACAAACAGTCCTGACCTAGCTGTGATCATTAACGATGGTCATCAGTGAATTGCAGTATTACTGAATCGGAAAATTTTTCTCATTGAAAGGGAACTAAGAGTCTAGATTCTGTGTTAAATGTACTTTTTTTCAGTCTACAGTTCGTTGTGAACACTTTTTCACAGGAGAAGACTGATTCCTCATTCCTTTCATTTACTGTACTGTATTTCACTTCACAGCTGTATCATAACAAATTCTCTACGATTGGACATTGGAGTTGTTGCCACTTGATATGCTATCACAATAATACATACATTTTGCTCACTTGTGCAGGTATATATAAAAAATAAGTTGTCCGGATCAGAAAGCTGAACTTTGTTAAAACATAAATAAATGTATTTTTAAAAAGAAAAATGCATTTAAAAAATGCATTTAAAAAGAAAAAATAAGTTGCTAAGACAGGAACTTCTGGAATTAAGAGTATGAACATTTAGAGTTTTAACAAGCAAGACTAAACTACCCTACACATGTACAAAGCTAGTGTACACTCACACCCCAGCGTATGAGACTGCCTGCTTCCCTAAACCCTTGCCAACATAGGTATTATGAATCTTTGTAATCTTTGCCAATCTGATATCTGAAAAATTATATCTCATTGTTGCTTTTATTTGCATTTCTTTGATCATCAGTGAGGCTGGAACATCTTTTCTCATGTTTGGGTCTATAAAAGCCTATTTTCTTCTTCTGTGAATAGCATATTCATATATTTTGCTGGTTTTTTCCTGGCTTGTTCATTTAAAAAAAGGTTTTTTTTGGTAGGGCCAGGGTCTTGCTATGTTGCCCAGGCTGGTCTTGAACTCCTGGCCTCAAGTGATTCTCCCACCTCAGCTTCCCAAAGTGCTGAGATTACAGGCATTGAGCCACCATACCCAGCCTCTTTAAAAAAAATTTTTTATTTATTGATATATATGATTTTTTAGGTGTTTTGAAGA